CTGCGTCTGCCCCACGGAAAGGGGGCTGGAGGACCACCGGCCGTCGCCACTGAAGCAAGGTGGGCTTTGGGGGTTCCCCTGGGAGGGGAGATCCAGAGGGGGGGGGGTCCTACTGGGGCAGCACCCCATGGAAAGGGGCCCTGGGGCAGGCGAGACACCGGCCAGCAGGAGGCTTCAAGTTCTGGACTCGATCGGACTCCCGGACCGGCCAGCAGGAGGTGCCGTGCCGGTGACTGAACGAGCGGCTGCCCCCCCTGAGCCCCCTCCCCCCCTCTCCCGGGGGGTCCGGCCTGCCCCCCCCTCACCTTATTCGTGGTGTAACTGTCCCAGATGATGAGTTTCCCATCCTGCGAGGCGCTCACCAGCAGCCTAGGGGGGAGAGACCCCATGTGAGCGCAGCGGGGCCCAGAGGCCTGCCCCCCCGCAGGCAGGCTGGCCCCACTGCCCCAGGGGGTGCTGTGGGGGCTCAGCAGGGGGGTTCTTCCCCCCGCCCCGGCAGGGCTGGTCCCCCTGAGCAGATATGAACCCAGATGCTTCTAATTTAGGAGACTCCACTTCCAGCCTTCCCCAGGCCCAGGAATGGGATGGGAACCCCGGAGTCCGGGCCAATCAAAACCAAAGCTGATCCCGGCCAATGGGATAAAAGATCCTCGATTGCTTCAGGGCCTGAAACAACTGAAGCCCGCCCCAGAGGTGGCCGCGTCCGGGCGGGGGGGCCCCGGGGTCCCCGGCCGCCCCGCCCCAGAGGTGGCCGCGTCCGGGCGAGCTCTCACCTGGAGTCGGTGCCCCAGTGCATGGCGTAGATTTTCGCCAGGTGGCCGCGGAGGGTACGTCGCGTCCGCATCTGGATCCGCCCCACGGGGTCCATCCCGGCCGTGATCTGGGGGGGGGGGAGACAGGTGAGGGGCGGAGTGACGGGGGAGGGGCAGGGAGGGACCCCAGCAAGGGGGCCGAGGCCACAGCCCAGCACGGCTCACCTGGCTCAGAGTGGAGTCGCCACATGCCTTCCTCGCGTCCTGGGGGGGGACGGACATCGGGTTAAAATCCGAACCGCCCAAACCCACTCCCCTCCCCGAGCCGGGGGGGGGGGAGAGAACCCAGGCATCCTGGCTCCCAGCCCCCCCCCTCCCCTCCCCGAGCCGGGGGGGGGGGAGAACCCAGGCATCCTGGCTCCCAGCCCCCCCCCCCCCCCCTCCCCGAGCCGGGGGGGAGAGGGAGAACCCAGGCGTCCTGGCTCCCAGCCCCCCCTCCCCTCCCCGAGCCGGGGGGGGGGAGAACCCAGGCGTCCTGGCTCCCAGCCCCCCCCCTCCCCGAGCCGGGGGGGGGGGGGGAGAACCCAGGCGTCCTGGCTCCCAGCCCCCCTCCCCGAGCCGGGGGGGGGGGAGAACCCAGGCGTCCTGGCTCCCCCCCCATGCAGACAGCAAGGGGCGCTGTCCCCCCCCCCCAGCCCTGCCACCAACACAAACAGCCACAAGCGCAGGGGAGAGGGGGCGGGGGAGGGGCTGGGGGCCAGGACTCCTGGGTTCCGCGCTCGGGGGGGGCTCTGCCCCCCCCCACTCACCCGGATCTGGATGCGCAGCTGCTCCGCCTCCTGCCGCAGCTGCTCCAGCTCGCTCATGGCCGCGGCCGGGACCCTGCGGGGGGTGGGGGGGTTAGCAGGAGCCCGGACCTGCCGGGCAGAGAACCCAGGCGTCCGAGGTTCCCCCCTCCCCAGAATCCGGGCAGAGAACCCAGGCGTCCGAGGCCCCCCCCCTCCCCAGAATCCGGGCAGAGAACCCAGGCGTCCGAGGCCCCCCCCGAAGCCGGGCAGAGAACCCAGGCGTCCGAGGCCCCCCGAAGCCGGGCAGAGAACCCAGGCGTCCGAGGCCCCCCCCCGAAGCCGGGCAGAGAACCCAGGCGTCCGAGGCCCCCCCCCGAAGCCGGGCAGAGAACCCAGGCGTCCGAGGTCTCCCCCCCCCCCAGAATCCGGGCAGAGAACCCAGGCGTCCGAGGTCTCCTCCCCCCCCCCCAGAATCCGGGCAGAGAACCCAGGTGTCCGAGGTCCCCCCCCTCCCCAGAATCCGGGCAGAGAACCCAGGCGTCCGAGCCCCCCCCCCCAGAATCGGGCAGAGAACCCAGGCGTCCAGCCCCCCCCCGAAGCCTGGCAGAGAACCCAGGCGTCCAGCCCCCCCGAAGCCGGGCAGAGAACCCAGGCGTCCGAGCCCCCCCCCGAAGCCGGGCAGAGAACCCAGGCGTCCGAGCCCCCCCCAGCTGCGCTCGCAGGGGCTGCAGGTCGGGAGTGCGGGGCACCGCTGGGCTGGGGGTCCCCCCCCCGTACCTGGCGCAGCCTCGTTCCGGGGCCGGGGGACTCGTTTCCGGGCCGCTCCCCTGGGCGGAAGGATCCGCTCGGGCCTGGTCTCGCTGCGCGGGCCGGAACTCAGCGGCGGAGGGATCCGCCCCCCCCCGCCCGTTCGCCGCCTGCCCGCCCCGGTGATGCGGCTGCCGGCGACCGCGCCCAGAGCCCGGGACAGACCAAGTGCCCCGCGTGCGGGGGGAATCACTGTGTGGGCGGGACCACCTCACTTCCTGGGGGGCTAGGACGATACCATCTGGACCTTGCGATGGGCGATACCAAGTCACTTCCTCCAAGGCCGAGTGAGACCAGCTACCCAGGGTTCCGATGGGAGATACCAACTCACTTGCGGGGGTTGAGGGTGACATAAGCCACCATATGGGCGGGGCCTCTCAATGGCACATACCAACACACTTCCCGGGGACAGGGTGACAACCATCTACCATACAGGGTGGAGCTTGCCATGGGAGATACCAACTCACTCCTTGGGTTGAGCGAGGCTTGCAATGGCAGATACCAAGTCACTTCCTGGGAAGGGGGGGATACAATAAGGGGCGGGGCTTGCTTTGGTAGATACCAACTAATTTCCGGGGAGCAGAGGCAAGACCATTTAGGGGGGGGGGATGGCTAGGAATAGGAGAAACCAACTCAATTCCTGGGGGTGCAGGGTGATACCAATGCCCAAATGGGGGAAGGCAGACAATGGCAGATACCAACTCTCTGGGGAAACGGGGTGAGATCTCACAGATAGGGTGGTGCGAGGGAAACCTAAGGGTGGGAGATACCAAGTCGCTTTCTGAGCGGGCAGGGCAGGATTATCTCACAGACGTGGGGGGGGGGGGTACCATGGATAGGAGACATCTCTTTTCCTGGGGGGAAGGGAGAGACCATCTTGCAGAGGTGCGGAGGGAAGGAAGTAGACAAGGGAGATACCAATTCACTTCCGGGGGTGGGCAGGGTGAGACCAACTCCAAAAAGCGGGGGAGGGTAAGGATGGATGGAAGATACCATCCCGGAAAGTGGGTTGTACCAACGGCGAAGGGGGCGTGCGTGGGCTCCGACTACACCATCGAAAACGGCAGGGGGAGCTGGGCTATACCAAGTCCCTGAAATGCTCGCGTCCCAGCCACTCACTTGGGCACCTTTTCACCAAGGAACTTTCCACATCCCAGGGCCAGGGAGAGAACCCAGGAGTCCTGGCTCCCAGCCCCCCCTGCTCTAACCCCCCAGCCTCCGCTCCCCTCTCTGAACTGGGGAGAGAACCCAGGAGTCCTGGCTCCCAGCCCCCCTGCTCTAACCCCCCAGACCCCGCTCCCCTCTCTGAACTGGGGGGAGAACCCAGGAGTCCTGGCTCCCAGCCCCTCCCCCGACTCCACCCACGCTCCCCCCATCCTAGCAAGCATCTCACATCTGATCTCCCCAGCAAGAGAAGGGGCGGGTTACCTGGTGCAGTCCCCCCCCACACACTGGGGTCCTGGGGGGGGGGTCGCAGCAGCTCCTGCTGGCCGGGGGGAGTAGCCCCCCCGTTACTCCCCGCGCGGTGGCAGGCCGGGGTGGGGGCGGACGGAGCCGGAGCAGCAGCCCGGTGCAGCTGGGTGACCGCGCGGTGATCGCAGCCAATGGCGGGGGGGGAATTGGGGGACCCCTCCCCTGCCCATCCACCGCCAGCTGCTGCTGCTACCAAATGTGGGTGGGGGGGCATGTCCCTGGTCAATTCTCCCGCACATACACCCCCCCCCCCGGGGCTGACACTGACAGTGCAAACCACAGGGACAGATCTAGAGAGAACCCAGGAGTCCTGGCTCCCAGCCCCCCCTGCTCTCACCCACCAGCCCCCCCCCCTCCCCTCCCAGAGCCAGGGAGAGAACCCAGGAGTCCTGGCTCCCACTGTTAAATTCCTACACCCACCAGCTCGGTATCTGCCCCCCGTCTAGAGGAATTTAGGATTTTTCTGGTTTGAAATAATCCAGGGTATGGAAGTGGGGGGAGAGGAGGTAGGACTGAATAGGGAGACAGGTATGAAAAGTGGGGGGGGGTATAAAGGGCTCGGGAGATAGAGGGGGTGGGATGGGCGGACAGAGGGGAACGCATAGACGGGGGGTGGGGGACGGGACGGGCGGGATGGAGGGGGATGGATAGAGGGGTGTGGGGGGTGGGATGGGGGATGGATAGAGGGGGTGTGGGGAGGGATGTTTAGATAATTTTAATGAATAGAAGGAGGGGGCTGGTGGGTTAGAGCAGCGGGGGCTGTGAGCCAGGACTCCTGGGTTCTTTCCCTGGCTCTGGGAGGGGAGTGGGGGCTGGTGAGTTAGAGCAGGGGGGCTGGGAGCCCGGACGCCTGGGTTCTCTCCCCGGCTCTGGGAGGGGAAGGGCAAACCCATAGCAGGGGGAGATTGTTACCTGAGACCCGACCCCCCACGCTAAAAAAATCCCTCCCCCGACACTAATTCCCCGCCCCCCTCCCGCCCGCCGTCCATCCCTGCCCCTTTAAGAAAGCCCCAGATTGTCACTTATTGTCTCTGCGATTGACCAATCAGGGGCTGCTTGGGGAGGGGGGTGAGGCCTCTGATTGGCGGGGACGAAAGCTCCCCCTCACCCCCTCTCTACAGATCGGGCCCCCCCCATCCACGGTCGCTGTCCCGCCGCCTGGGTGCTGAATCGCCCCTCCCCCCCCACACCCCCTCCGCCCCGGCACCCGGGACCCTCCCCCCGCAGGAGCCGCACGGGGCAGGGGGCGCAGCGGAGGCAGGATGAGTGGGGGGGTCTATGGAGGAGGTAAGGGGCCCCCTTTAATGTCCCCCCGCCTCTATTTCCAGGCATAAATCACAGCAGCAGCATGCAGCCCCCAGGGGGCGCCGTGCTGCAGGGGGAGGGGTTGGGGGGGGTCAGCTGGATCTGGGTCATCGAACACTTGCAGCCGCCCCGCCCCAGAGGTGGCCGCATCTCGGCGCCGGGCGAGGGGTCCCCAGGTCCCCGGCTGCCCCGCCCCAGAGGTGGGCGCATCTCGGCGCCGGGCGAGGGGTCCCCGGGTCCCCGGGTGCCCCACCCCAGAGGTGGGCGCGTCTCGGCGCCGGGCGAGGGGTCCCCGGGTCCCCGGCTGCCCCACCCCAGAGGTGGGCGCATCTCGGCGCCGGGCGAGGGGTCCCCCAGAGGTGGGCGCGTCTCGGCGCCGGGCGAGGGGTCCCCGGGTCCCCGGCTGCCCCACCCCAGAGGTGGGCGCATCTCGGCGCCGGGCGAGGGGTCCCCCAGAGGTGGGCGCATCTCGGCGCCGGGCGAGGGGTCCCCCAGAGGTGGGCGCGTCTCGGCGCCGGGCGAGGGGTCCCCCAGAGGTGGGCGCGTCTCGGCGCCGGGCGAGGGGTCCCCCAGAGGTGGGCGCACCGGTGGCGGGTGCCGAGTGTCTCTCTCTCTGTCCCAGATGAGGTGGGGGCGCTCGTCTTTGACATCGGCTCGTTCTCGGTCCGAGCTGGCTACGCCGGAGAAGACTGCCCCAAGGTACGTCCGGAGGCCCCCCACGTGGGGGTCCCTGGAAGCCCCCTCAACCTGCCCCGGGGCCGGGTGGGAGCCGGGGCCCCCCGGAGGGGACAGCCCCCCTGGCTCACCCCCCGCCCCCGTTGCAGGCGGATTTCCCCACCACGGTGGGGCTGCTGGCCCCCGAGGACGCGGCGCTGGAGCTGGACGGGGAGAAGGAGAAGAAGCCGGGGAAGGTTTATTACATCGACACCAACTCGCTGCACGTCCCGCGGGAGAACACCGAGGTCCTGTCGCCCCTGAAGAACGGCATGAGTGAGGGTCTGGCCCCCGGGGCCCCCCCCCGGGCCCCCCGCCACGGGCCCCCGCTGCCCCCCGTCCCGACCCCCGCTACCCCCGCCACGGGCCCCGCTGCCCCGTCCCGACCCCCACTACCCCCGCCACGGGCCCCGCCCCTCCGCCACCCTACCCCCCACGACCCCCGCTGCCATGCCCACCCTGCCAGGGCCCCGCTGCCCCCCGCCACGGCCCCCGTCCCACCCCCCACACCCCCGCCCCGGGCCCCGCGCCCCCGCCACGGGCCCCCGCTGCCCCCGCCACGGGCCCCCGCTGCCCCCCGTCCCGACCCCCCACTACCCCCCGCCACGGGCCCCCGCTGCCCCCCGTCCCGACCCCCCACTACCCCCCGCCACGGGCCCCCGCTGCCCCTCCGCCACGGCCTACCCGTCACAACCCCCGCTGCCACCCACCCTGCCATGGGCCCCTGCGCCCCCCGCCAGGCCCCCGTCCCACCCCCCACTACCCCCCCGCCCCGGCCCCCGCTGCCCCCGCCACGGCCCCCACTACCCCCCACCACGGGCCCCCGCTGCCCCCGCCACGGGCCCCGCTGCCCCCGCCAGGGCCCCCACTACCCCCGCCACGGGCCCCCGCTGCCCCCTGTCCCGACCCCCCACTACCCCCCGCCACGGGCCCCCGCTGCCCCCTCCGCCACGGCCTACCCCGTCACGACCCCCGCTGCCACGGCCCACCCTGCCATGGGCCCCTGCTGCCCCCCCGCCACGGGCCCCCCATCCCGACCCCCCACTACCCCCCCGCCACGGGCCCCCGCTACCCCCTTGCCACGGTCCGCCCCGTCACGGGTCCCTGCTACCTCCCTGCCACAGGATCCCCCACCACGGGACCCCACCCTGCCCCCTGCCATGCCCCTCCATGGCTTCTGGACCCCCTGCCACAGGCCCCCGCTACCCCCGTGCCATGCCCCCCCGTCATGACCCCCCGCTACCCCCGTGCCACGGCCCCCCGTCATGACCCCCCGCTACGCCCGTGCCACGGCCCCCCCGTCACGGGCCCCCGCTACCCCCGTGCCACGGTCCGCCCTTTCATGACCCCCCGCTACCCCCGTGCCACGGCCCCCCCGTCATGACCCCCGCTACCCCCCGTGCCACGGTCCCCCCTGTCACGGGCCCCTGCTACCCCCGTGCCACGGCCCCCCCGTCACAGGTCCCTGCTACCTCCCTGCCACAGGATCCCCCACCACGGGACCCCACCCTGCCCCCCGCCATGCCCCTCCATGGCTTCTGGACCCCCTGCCATGAGCACCCCCCCAATGGCTTCCCCACCCCCACGGGTGGCCCCACGTGGTGCAGGGGAGCTGGAGGGAAGCAGGTTGGTGCCACCTTAACCGAGCCCCACCCCCATATCTCTCCCTCCCCCTCCCCGTGTTGTACCCTCGCCCCCCCCCACGCTGCTGTCCCCCCAGTCGAGGACTGGGATTGTTTCCAGGCCATCCTGGACCACACCTATGGCAAACACGTCAAGTCGGAGCCCGGCCTGCACCCCGTGCTCATGTCCGAGGCACCGGTAGGTCCCCCACATGCCCCCCAATATCACGTCACCCCCCCCGTGCTGTCACATCCCCCTGATCCGCCCCCTGTGACCCGACATCCTCCTGCATCCGGACATCAACCCTGATCCACCCCCTGTGCCCCATCACGTCACCCCCTGCACCCCGACATCACCTCTGGTCCACCCCATGCCCCTGACATCACATCACCCCCCTGTGTCATCACATCCCCCCGATCCGCCCCCTGCACCCGGACATCAGCCCTGATCCACCCCCTGTGCCCCCTCACGTCACCCCCTGCACCCCGACATCACCTCTGGTCCACCCCGTGTCCCCCATCAGGTCACCCCCTGCACCCCATCACCTCTGATCCACCCCGTATGCCCCAACATCATGTCACCCCCCTGCACCCTGACATCCCCCTGATCCACCCCATGCCCCCGACATCACGTCACCCCCTGCACCCCGACATCACCCTGATCCATCCCCCTGCACCCCGACATCACCCTGATCCACTCCCTTGCACCCCAGCATCACATCACCACCCGCACCCCGACATCATCCCGATCCACCCTGCACCCCCTGACATCACATCACCCCCCTGCACCCCGACATCACCCTGATCCACCCCATGCCCCCAGACATCATGTCACCCCCCTGCACCCTGACATCACCCCGATCCACTCCCTTGCACCCTGACATCACATCACCCCCCACACCCCCAACATCACCCCCCATCCACCCCCCTGCACCCCGACATCACCCTGATCCACCCCGCGCCCCCCCGACATCATCTCACCCCCCCTGCACACCATCACCCCGATCCACCCCATGCCCCCCGGCATCACATCACCCCCCTGCCCCCTGCCATTACATCCCCCCTTGCCCCCCGATATCCCGCCCTGGCCCCCCAGCGCCCCCACCGCCGGTCTCTCTCCCCGCAGTGGAACACCCGGGCCAAGCGGGAGAAGCTGACCGAGCTGATGTTCGAGCATTACGCCATCCCGGCCTTCTTCCTCTGCAAGACCGCCGTGCTCACCGCGTATCCTGGGCGGGCCGGGGCAGGGATCTGGGGGGCTGGAGAAGTGGAAAGGACATGTGGGGGAGGGCTGGGAAGGATCTGGGGGGCTGGGATGGGGCTGGCAGGCTGGAGAGGACATGTCGGGGGCTGCGATGGGGGGAGCTGGGCAGGGACTGGGGGGCTGTAGGGAAGATTTGGGGGGCTGGGAGGAAAAGGGGGGATCCTGGCATGGGGTCCGGCCGCGGGCACCTTGGGCCGTGTAGGGCACAGGCAGCGGGGAGGGGGGCAGAGAGCCGCTCCGAGGCGGTCGCCCTGCTCCTGCGGCAGGGAGTTCCACAGAGCCAGGAACAATCTTGCCCCCTTGACCCCCCCTGCCAGCTTTGCCAATGGGCGCAGCACGGGGCTGGTGCTGGACAGCGGGGCCACCCACACCACGGCCATCCCCGTGCACGACGGGTACATCCTGCAGCAAGGTGGGCACCGCCCGGACGCCTGGGTCCTCTGCCCGGCTCAGAGGGGAGGGGGGCTGGTGGGTTAGAGTCGGGGGCGCTGGGAGCCAGGACTCCTGCGTTCTCTCCCTGGCTCTGGTAGGGCAGTGGGGGCGGGTAGGTTAGAGCAGGGGGGGTTGGGAGCCAGGACTCCTGGGTTCTCTCCCCGGCTCTGGGAGGGGAGTGGGGGCTGGTGGGTTAGAGCAGGGGGGCCTGGGAGCCAGGACTCTTGGGTTCTCTCCCCGGCTCTGGTAGGGCAGTGGGGGCTGGTGGGTTAGAGCAGGGGGCGCTGGGAGCCAGGACGCCTGGGTTCTCTCCCCGGCTCTGGTAGGGCAGTGGGGGCGGGTAGGTTAGAGCAGGGGGGGCTGGGAGCCAGGACTCCTGGGTTCATTCCCGGCTCTGGGGGGGGGGGTTCCAGGGATTGTGAAGTCGCCGCTGGCCGGGGATTTCATCTCCATGCAGTGCCGGGAGCTCTTCCAGGAGATGAACATTGAGATCGTGCCCCCCTACATGATCGCTGCCAAGGTGCGGAGGGGGGGGTCCCTTGTGGGGGGGGGACGGCGGGCTGGGGGGGAAAACAGGAATCCAGGAAGGGGGGGGAGGTGAGGGGAGGCGGGGGTTGATGCGGGAGGGGCTGGGGGGAATTGGGGGGAGGGAGGGGGTCTGGGAGGGGAATGGTTCACGGCTCCCCCCTGCCCCATCTTTCTGCCGCCCCCCCAGGACCCCGTGCGTGAGGGGGCCCCCCCCAACTGGAAGAAGAAGGAGAAGCTGCCCCAGGTCTCCAAGTCCTGGCACAACTACACCTGCAATGTGAGCTGGGGGGGGCGGGGCTGGGGGCCGGGCGCCTGGGTTCTCTCCCTGTCTCTGGCAGGGCAGTGGGGGCTGGTGGGTTAGAGCAGGGGGGGCTGGGAGCCAGGACGCCTGGGTTCTCTCCCCGGCTCTGGGAGGGGAGTGGGGGCTGGTGAGTCAGAGCAGGGGGGGCTGGGAGCCAGGACTCCTGGGTTCTCTCCCCAAATCACTGACCCCCATATACTCTTCCCCCCCCCCAGGAGGTGATCCAGGATTTTCAGGCCTCAGTGCTACAGGTCTCTGACTCCCCATATGACGAGCAGTGAGTGCTGCGGGGGTGGGGGGCGCACTGGGGGGAAGCTGCTGGCACGGTGGTGGGAGGAGGGGGGGCAGGGCTTTGCCAGAGGGAGGGGGGCTGGGCACTCAGGGTGGGGGGAGTCTGTTGGAGTGGGGCCATGGGGGGAAGCCCCCTCCCCCCTGAAAGTGGCGGGGGACACTGCCCCTCCTCTGCCCCCCCCGCAGGGTGGCTGCCCAGATGCCCACCGTACACTACGAGATGCCCAACGGGTACAACACGGACTACGGGGCTGAGCGGCTGCGCATCCCCGAGGGGCTCTTCGACCCCTCCAACGTCAAGGTGGGTCACCCCCCCAGTCCCGCCCCAGCCAGAGCCAGGAGGGAACCCAGGAGTCCTGGCTCCCAGCTCCCCCATTCCGACCCCGCAGCCCCCACTCCCTTTCCAGAGCTGGGGAGAGAACCCAGGAGTCCTGGCTCCCAGCCCCCCCACGGTCTGACCCCCCAGCCCCCACTCCCCTCCCGGAGCCGGGGAGGGAACCCAGGAGTCCTGGCTCCCAGCCCCCCTGCTCTAACCCACCAGCCCCCATTCCCAGAACCCCCTGTCTTTTTTAATCGTTCCTTGCCTCAGTTTCCCCACTTTGTCCAGGGTGAGGCTGGGGGTTGGGAGGAGATGGTGGTGTGATATTGCGGGAAGGGGGAGTCCGGGGGCAGGGCAGAAGGGCCCCCCATTAATGCTTGCCCCTCCCCCGATTCTGTCCCCTTCTCCAGGGTCTCTCTGGTAACACCATGCTGGGCGTCGGGCACGTGGTGACCACCAGCATCGGCATGTGTGATATCGACATCAGGCCGGTGCGTGGCCCCCCCCTCGCTCTTCCTCCCACCCCGTGGGGTGTGGGGCTGGGCCCTTGGGCCCTGTGGGACTCCCTGCAACTGGAGTCCCTTGGCTGGGCCTGTGGGGAGGGTGATCTGGTCAGCAGGCAGGACGCCGGGGTAGATGGGCCCGTGGTGGGGGACGCCGGGGTAGATGGGCCCGTGGTGGGGGACGCCGGGCGAGGGGGCCCAGGGGCGAAGGGGGGCCCAAGGACGAGGGGGGCCCGGGACTAACCGTCTCCCGGTGATTCTCAGGGTCTCTACGGCAGCGTCATTGTGACCGGGGGCAACACCCTGCTCCAGGGATTCACCGACCGGCTGAACCGCGAGCTGTCGCAGAAAACGCCCCCCGTGAGTGTGTGCACGTGTGCAATGCTCCCTCCGCTCTGTGTGTGTGTACAGGGATTCTTGGGGTTGTGGTCTGTGTGTGTGTGTGGAGGGGTTGTGGGGGTGTCCCGGGGTCCCCGGGCGATGCTCTGGACCTGCTCCCCATGAAGCCAGGCAGGACTCTGGGGGAGTCTCCTCTCGGGGGGCAGCCTGTCTGCAGGACACACAGCTCCCCCGGCTCCACCTTCCTGGGTCTGACCCCGGAGCCTCCAGCCCCCCTGCCCCTCCGTGCGCTTCCCCCAGCCAGTCCGCCCAGGTGGGGTCCTGGGGAAGCCAGAGGGTCCTGCCCCCCAACTCCGCAGTCAGACGGGACTCTCAGCCAGCCAGTAACACAGAAGGTTTATTAGACGACAGGGACATGGTCTAACACAGAGCTTGTAGGTGCAGAGACCGGGACCCCTCAGCCGGGTCCATTTTGGGGGGCAGTGAGCCAGACAACCCCGTCTGCCCTTCACTCCATGTCCCAGCCAGCCCCCAACTGAAACTCCCCCCAGCCCCCGGCTCCTCTGGGCTTTGCCCCTTTCCCGGGCCAGGAGGGCACCTGATTCCTTTGTTCTCCAACCCTTCAGCTCTCACCTTGCAGGGGGAAGGGCCCAGGCCATCCGTGGCCAGGAAACAGGGTGTCGGCCATTCTCTGTGTCCAGACCCCTGCCCACACCTGCCCTCTAGGGCTCTGCAAGGGTCATACACCCTTATCCCACCCCCTAGATACTTAAGAACTGCCTAGGGGAAACTGAGGCACCCCCACACTATTCAGAGGAAACATTAAGAACAGTCCCGCTTCGTCACAGGGGGGTTGTGGGGTGTGTGTGCGGAGGGGTTGTGGGGGACTGTGGGGGGGGTGTAGAGGGGCTGTGGGGTGTCTGTGTGGAGGGGTTGTGGGGGGTGTATGCGAAGGGGTTGTGGGGGGCTGTGCGGGGGTGTAGAGGGGCTGTGGGGTGTTGTGTGGAGGGGTTGTTGGGGGTGTGTGGAGGGGTTGTGGGGGGTGTGTGCGGAGGGGTTGTGGGGGGCTGTGGGGGGGTGTAGAGGGGCTGTGGGGTGTCTGTGTGGAGGGGTTGTGGGGGGCTGTGGGGGGGTGTAGAGGGGCTGTGGGGTGTCTGTGTGGAGGGGTTGTGGGGGGCTGTGGGGGTGTGTGCGGAGGGGTTGTGGGGGGCTGTGGGGGGGGTGTAGAGGGGCTGTGGGGTGTCTGTGTGGAGGGGGGGCTGTGGGGGGTGTGTGCGGAGGGGTTGTGGGGGGCTGTGGGGGGGGTGTAGAGGGGCTGTGGGGTGTCTGTGTGGAGGGGTTGTGGGGGGGCTGTGGGGGTGTGTGCGGAGGGGTTGTGGGGGGCTGTGGGGGGGTGTAGAGGGGCTGTGGGGTGTCTGTGTGGAGGGGCTGTGGGGGGCTGTGGGGTGTGTGCGGAGGGGTTGTGGGGGGCTGTGGGGGTGGGGGGTCTGTGGGGGGTGTGTGGGGGGCTGTGGGGTGTGTGTGCGGAGGGGTTGTGGGGGGCTGTGGGGGGCTGTGGGGGGGTGTAGAGGGGCTGTGGGGTGTCTGTGTGGAGGGGTTGTGGGGGGCTGTGGGGGTGTGTGCAGAGGGGTTGTGGGGGGCTGTGGGGGGGTGTAGAGGGGCTGTGGGGTGTCTGTGTGGAGGGGTTGTGGGGGCTGTGGGGGTGTGTGCGGAGGGGTTGTGGGGGACTGTGCGGGGGTGTAGAGGGGCTGTGGGGTGTCTGTGTGGAAGGGCTGTTGGGGGTCTGTGGGGGGGTGTGCGGAGGGGCTGTTTGGGTCTGTGGGGGGTGTGTGGAGGGGTTGTGGGGGGGAGGGGGGTGTGCACAACGCTGCCCCCTACTGGCCGGTCCCACGGGGGGCCGCTCCCCACCGCCCCCTCTGTCCCCCCAGAGCATGCGCCTCAAACTCATCGCCAGCAACAGCACCATGGAGCGGAGATTCAGCCCCTGGATCGGGGGGTCCATCCTCGCCTCGCTAGTGAGTGATCCCGCGGGGGGGCAGGACGCCTGGGTTCTCTCCCCAGCTCCGGGAGGGGAGGGGGGGCTGGTGGCTCAGAGTGGGGGGGGGGGCTGGGAGCCAGGATGCCTGGGTTCTCTCCCCGGCTCTGGGAGGGCAGGGGGGGCTGGTGGGTCAGAACAGGGGGGGGGAGCTGGGAGCCCGGATGCCTGGGTTCTCTCCCCGGCTCCGGGAGGGGAGTGGGGGCTGGTGGGTCAGAGCAGGGGGTGGGGGCTGGGAGCCAGGATGCCTGGGTTCTCTCCCCAGCTCTGGGAGGGGAGCAGGAGCTGGTGGGTGGGAGCAGGGGGTGGGGGCTGGGAGCCCGGACGCCTGGGTTCTATCCTGGTCTCTTCTCCCCAGGGCACCTTCCAGCAGATGTGGATCTCCAAGCAGGAGTACGAGGAGGGCGGGAAGCAGTGCGTGGAGCGGAAATGCCCCTGATGCAGCCGGCGCCCCCTGGCGGTGGGGCTGGGGTTCCCGCGGGCACCTGCCCCCAGGGTCCCCTCCCCCACCCCACCCCACCCTTCTTCCAGTCCCCAAGCTCTCACCATTATGGTCACAAGACCTTTGGCTGGGGGAAGCTGGGGGAGGGTCCAAGCCCCCCCCCCCCCGTCCTTATCCCATGTCTTTTCATCATTACCCCCTCCGCTCCCCTCCCAGAGCCGGGGAAAGAACCCAGGAGTCCTGGATCCCAGCCCCCCTGCTCTAACCCACCAGCCCCCGCTCCCCTCCCAGAGCCAGGGAGAGAACCCAGGAGTCCGGGCTCCCCCCCCCCCCCCTTTTCTAATTCCCTTATATGCAGGGGCTAAAGCAAAGCACAGGGATGGGGTGGGTGTGGGGGGGGGGGGCTGTTAGTGGCAGAGGGGCTTGAGTTCAGACTCTGGGGTGGCCCATGACAGGGGGCGCCCCCTGTGGGTCAGAGGGAGAACAGAGTCCCCCACAATTCTTTCCCTGCTCCCCTCCTCTCCGAGTCACAGCCCCCCATTCGCTGTGCCATGTCCCCCCCCCCCCCCGGTGCCCATCGCTAGCTCGTTACGTGCTTCGTTAATTGGCTTGGTTCATTTTCATGGGTGCGAACGTGGCGTCTAGACAACGGCCCGCAATAAACGTCCGAAAAGGAGAAAACCGTCCAGTGTCTTCGTAATGCTGGGAAAGGAACCCAGGCGTCCGGGCTCCCAGACCCCAATCCCCTCCCAGTGCTGTGGAGAGAACCCAGGAGTCCTGGCTCCCAGCCCCCCTGCTCTAACCCACCAGCCCCCACTCCACTCCCAGTGCTGTGGAGAGAACCCAGGAGTCCTGGCTCCTAGCCCCCCCTGCTCTAACCCGCCAGCCCCCACTCCCCTCCCAGTCTGTGGAGAGCATCCAATCCGGCCCCAGGGTGGGGGTCTGGCTTGCTTGGGGCAGGGAATGACCCCCGGGGCTTTCCCCTCTTTGGGGCACTAGCCCAGATGGGGCTGGCGGGGGCTGTTGCTAGGTGCTGGGTTTGCACTTTCTGCCCCACGGGTGGCTCTGACCTTTGGGTCTGGGTGGGGCGGGTTCGCCCTGCCCTGGCTCCCCCGCCCCACCGTCCCCACCCAGCTTATCTCCTGCCGGGGGTTCCCCGGACATTCACCCTGCAGAGCGGACATATTCGCCTGCCCCACCCCGGCGGGGGGCCATTAACCTGCCTGCCCCTTTCCAAGGATTCACCTCGCCCGCCTCCGCCCCATGGGGTTGAGCTCTTTGCTCCCTGACCCACACACAGCCCCTCCCCCACTTGGGTAGCCCCCCAAGCTGGGGTGCAGGATGTCGGGTATTCACTGAGCGACCGGCTCAGGCTCCCTGCAGACTCCGGCAGCGTCTCCCCGCCGGTGACCCCCAGGGCGGTTCACACCTCTCCGAGCGACCGGCTCAGGCTCCCTGCAGACTCCGGCAGCGTCTCCCCGCCGGTGACCCCCAGGGCGGTTCACACCTCTCCGAGCGACCGGCTCAGGCTCCCTGCAGACTCCGGCAGCGTCTCCCCGCCGGTGACCCCCCAGGGCGGTTCACACCTCTCCGAGCGACCGGCTCAGGGTCCCTGCAGACTCCGGCAGCGTCTTCCCGCCGGTGACCCCCAGGGCGGTTCACACCTCTCCGAGCGACCGGCTCAGGCTCCCTGCAGACTCCGGAAGCGTCTTCCCGCCGGTGACCCCCAGGGCGGTTCACACCTCTCCGAGCGACCGGCTCAGACTCTCTGCAGACTCCGGCAGCGTCTCCCCGCCGGTGACCCCCAGGGTGGTTCACACCTCTCCGAGCGACCGGCTCAGGCTCTCTGCAGACTCCGGCAGCGTCTCCCCGCCGGTGACCCCCAGGGCGGTTCACACCTCTCCGACCGACCGGCTCAGGCTCCCTGCAGACTCCGGCAGCGTCTCCCCGCCGGTGACCCCCAGGGCGGTTCACACCTCTCCGAACGACTGGCTCAGGCTCTCTGCAGACTCCGGCAGCGTCTCCCCGCCGGTGACCCCCAGGGCGGTTCACACCTCTCCGAGCGACCGGCTCAGGGTCCCTGCAGACTCCGGCAGCGTCTCCCCGCCGGTGACCCCCAGGGCGGTTCACACCTCTCCGAGCGACCGGCTCAGGCTCCCTGCAGACTCCGGCAGCGTCTCCCCGCCGGTGACCCCCAGGGCGGTTCACACCTCTCCGAGCGACCGGCTCAGGCTCTCTGCAGACTCCGGCAGCGTCTTCCCGCCGGTGACCCCCAGGGCGGTTCACACCTCTCCGAGCGACCGGCTCAGGCTCTCTGCAGCCTCCGGCAGCGTCTCCCCGCCGGTGACCCCCAGGGCGGTTCACACCTCTCCGAGCGACCGGCTCAGGCTCTCTGCAGCCTCCGGCAGCGTCTCCCTGCCGGTGACCCCCAGGGCGGTTCACACCTCTCCGAGCGACCGGCTCAGGCTCCCTGCAGGCTCCGGCAGTGTCTCCCCGCCGGTGACCCCCAGGGTGGTTCACACCTCTCCGAGCGACCGGCTCAGGCTCCCTGCAGACTCCGGCAGCGTCTCCCCGCTGGTGACCCCCAGGGCGGTTCACACCTCTCCGAGCGACCGGCTCAGGCTCTCTGCAGACTCCGGAGCGTCTTCCCGCGGTGACCCCCAGGGCGGTTCACACCTCTCCGAGCGACCGGCTCAGGCTCTCTGCAGACTCCGGCAGCGTCTCCCCGCCGGTGACCCCCAGGGCAGTTCACACCTCTCCGAGCGACCGGCTCAGGCTCCCTGCAGACTCCGGCAGCGTCTCCCCGCCGGTGACCCCCAGGGCGGTTCACACCTCTCCGAGCGACCGGCTCAGGCTCCCTGCAGACTCCGGCAGCGTCTCCCCGCTGGTGACCCCCAGGGCGGTTCACACCTCTCCGAGCGACCGGCTCAGGCTCCCTGCAGGCTCCGGCAGCGTCTCCCCGCCGGTGACCCCCAGGGCGGTTCACACCTCTCCGAGCGAACGGCTCAGGCTCCCTGCAGACTCCGGCAGCGTCTCCCCGCCGGTGACCCCCAGGGCGGTTCACACCTCTCCGAGCGACCGGCTCAGGCTCTCTGCAGACTCCGGCAGCGTCTCCCCGCCGGTGACCCCCAGGGTGGTTCACACCTCTCCGAGCGACCGGCTCAGGCTCCCTGCAGACTCCGGCAGCGTCTCCCCGCCGGTGACCCCCAGGGCGGTTCACACCTCTCCGAGCGACCGGCTCAGGCTCTCTGCAGACTCCGGCAGCGTCTCCGCACCGGTGACCCCCAGGGCGGTTCACACCTCTCCGAGCGACCGGCTCAGGCTCTTTGCAGACTCCGGCAGCGTCTCCCCGCCGGTGACCCCCAGGGCGGTTCACACCTCTCTGAGCGACCGGCTCAGGCTCCCTGCAGACTCCGGCAGCGTCTCCCCGCCGGTGACCCCCAGGGCAGTCACACCTCTCCGAGCAACCGGCTCAGGCTCTCTGCAGACTCCAGCAGCATCTCCCCGCCGGTGACCCCCAGGGCGGTTCACACCTCTCCGAGCGACCGGCTCAGGCTCCCTGCAGACTCCGGCAGCGTCTCCCCGCCGGTGACCCCCAGGGCAGTTCACACCTCTCCGAGCGACCGGCTCAGGCTCTCTGCAGCCTCCGGCAGCGTCTCCCCGCCGGTGACCCCCAGGGCGGTTCACACCTTTCCGAGCGACCGGCTCAGGCTCTCTGCAGACTCCGGCAGCGTCTCCCCGCCGGTGACCCCCAGGGCGGTTCACACCTCTCCGAGCGACCGGCTCAGGCTCCCTGCAGACTCCGGCAGCGTCTCCCCGCCGGTGACCCCCAGGGCGGTTCACACCTCTCCGAGCGACCGGCTCAGGCTCCCTGCAGGCTCCGGCAGCGTCTCCCTGCCGGTGACCCCCAGGGCGGTTCACACCTCTCCGAGCGACCGGCTCAGGCTCCCTGCAGACTCCGGCAGCGTCTCCCCGCCGGTGACCCCCAGGGCGGTTCACACCTCTCCGAGCGACCGGCTCAGGCTCTCTGCAGACTCCGGCAGCGTCTCCGCACCGGTGACCCCCAGGGCGGTTCACACCTCTCCGAGCGACCGGCTCAGGCTCTTTGCAGACTCCGGCAGCGTCTCCCCGCCGGTGACCCCCAGGGCGGTTCACACCTCTCCGAGCGACCGGCTCAGGCTCTCTGCAGACTCCGGCAGCGTCTCCCCGCTGGTGACCCCCAGGGCGGTTCACACCTCTCCGAGCGACCGGCTCAGGCTCTCTGCAGACTCCAGCAGCGTCTCCCCGCTGGTGACCCCCAGGGCGGTTCACACCTCTCCGAGCGACCGGCTCAGGCTCTCTGCAGACTCCGGCAGCGTCTCCCCGCCGGTGACCCCCCAGGGCGGTTCACACCTCTCCAAGCGACCGGCTCAGGCTCCCTGCAGACTCCGGCAGCGTCTCCCCGCCAGTGACCCCCAGGGCGGTTCACACCTCTCCGAGCGACCGGCTCAGGCTCTCTGCAGACTCCGGCAGCGTCTCCCCACCGGTGACCCCCAGGACGGTTCACACCTCTCCGAGCGACCGGCTCAGGCTCCCTGCAGACTCCGGCAGCGTCTCCCCGCCGGTGACCCCCAGGGCGGTTCACACCTCTCCGAGCGACCGGCTCAGGCTCTCTGCAGACTCCGGCAGCGTCTCCCCGCCGGTGACCCCCAGGGCGGTTCACACCTCTCCGAGCGACCGGCTCAGGCTCTCTGCAGACTCCGGCAGCGTCTCCCCGCCAGTGACCCCCAGGGCGGTTCACACCTCTCCGAGCGACCGGCTCAGGCTCTCTGCAGACTCCGGCAGCGTCTCCCCGCCGGTGACCCCCAGGGCGGTTCACACCTCTCCGAGCGACCGGCTCAGGCTCCCTGCAGGCTCCGGCAGCGTCTCCCCGCCGGTGACCCCCAGGGCAGTACACACCTCTCCGAGCGACCGGCTCAGGCTCCCTGCAGGCTCCGGCAGCGTCTCCCCGCCGGTGACCCCCAGGGCGGTTCACACCTCTCCGAGCGACCGGCTCAGGCTCTCTGCAGACTCCGGCAGCGTCTCCCCGCCGGTGACCCCCAGGGCGGTTCACACCTCTCCGAGCGACCGGCTCAGGCTCTCTGCAGCCTCCGGCAGCGTCTCCCCGCCGGTGACCCCCAGGGCGGTTCACACCTCTCCGAGCGACCGGCTCAGGGTCCCTGCAGACTCCGGCAGCGTCTCCCCGCCGGTGACCCCCAGGGCGGTTCACACCTCTCCGAGCGACCGGCTCAGGCTCTCTGCAGCCTCCGGCAGCGTCTCCCCGCCGGTGACCCCCAGGGCGGTTCACACCTCTCCGACCGACCGGCTCAGGCTCCCTGCAGACTCCGGCAGCGTCTCCCCGCCGGTGACCCCCAGGGCGGTTCACACCTCTCCGAGCGACCGGCTCAGGCTCTCTGCAGACTCCGGCAGCGTCTCCCCGCCGGTGACCCCCAGGGCGGTTCACACCTCTCCGAGCGACCGGCTCAGGCTCCCTGCAGCCTCCGGCAGCGTCTCCGCACCGGTGACCCCCAGGGCAGTTCACACCTCTCCGAGCGACCGGCTCAGGCTCTCTGCAGACTCCGGCAGCGTCTCCCCGCCGGTGACCCCCAGGGCGGTTCACACCTCTCCGAGCGACCGGCTCAGGCTCTCTGCAGACTCCGGCAGCGTCTCCCCGCCGGTGACCCCCAGGGCGGTTCACACCTCTCCGAGCGACCGGCTCAGGCTCTCTGCAGACTCCGGCAGCGTCTCCGCACCGGTGACCCCCAGGGCGGTTCACACCTCTCCGAGCGACCGGCTCAGGCTCTCTGCAGACTCCGGCAGCGTCTCCCCGCCGGTGACCCCCAGGGCGGTTCACACCTCTCCGAGCGACCGGCTCAGGCTCTTTGCAGACTCCGGCAGCGTCTCCCCGCCGGTGACGCCCAGGGCGGTTCACACCTCTCCGAGCGAACGGCTCAGGCTCTCTGCAGCCTCCGGCAGCGTCTCCCTGCCGGTGACCCCCAGGGCGGTTCACACCTCTCTGAGCGAACGGCTCAGGCTCTCTGCAGACTCCGGCAGCGTCTCCGCACCGGTGACCCCCAGGGCGGTTCACACCTCTCCGAGCGACCGGCTCAGGCTCTCTGCAGACTCCGGCAGCGTCTCCCCGCCGGTGACCCCCAGGGCGGTTCACACCTCTCCGAGCGACCGGCTCAGGCTCTCTGCCGACTCCGGCAGCGTCTCCCCGCCGGTGACCCCCAGGGCGGTTCACACCTCTCCGAGCGACCGGCTCAGGCTCTCTGCCGACTCCGGCAGCGTCTCCCCGCCGGTGACCCCCAGGGCGGTTCACACCTCTCCGAGCGACCGGCTCAGGCTCTCTGCAGACTCCGGCAGCGTCTCCGCACCGGTGACCCCCAGGGCGGTTCACACCTCTCCGAGCGACTGGCTCAGGCTCTCTGCAGACTCCGGCAGCGTCTCCCCGCCGGTGACCCCCAGGGCGGTTCACACCTCTCCGAGCGACCGGCTCAGGCTCCCTGCAGACTCCGGCAGCGTCTCCCCGCCGGTGACCCCCAGGGCGGTTCACACCTCTCCGAGCGACCGGCTCAGGCTCTCTGCAGACTCCGGCAGCGTCTCCCCGCCGGTGACCCCCAGGGCGGTTCACACCTCTCCGAGCGAACGGCTCAGGCTCTCTGCAGACTCCGGCAGCGTCTCCGCACCGGTGACCCCCAGGGCGGTTCACACCTCTCCGACCGACCGGCTCAGGCTCCCTGCAGACTCCGGCAGCGTCTCCACGCGGCTTCGGGCCGGGGCCCCAGGACCCGACATGGCTGGAGCTCGCTTTATGGCCTAGGTCCCTAGCTCGTTATCAGCTTCGTTTGATGCCGGCAGCCAGGGCTGCTATGACAACAGAATCAAAACACCCGGGGCAGAAGGGCATTAACGTTCGTGACATCCCTGGGGCTGGCTTTCCGGACGCCTGGGTTCCATGACTCAGCTTGACCCCTGTAGGATCTCCTCTCCCCTGCCCCCGTGCCTCAGTTTCCCTTCCTGCCCTTGGTCTATGGCATGGCTGCGGAGCAGGGGCCGGTGGCACGTCGGGGTCCCGATCTACCTGGCTGGAAAGGGGACTATGGCTGCTGGCCGTCAGGGCAGTAGAAGTAACGAAGACCACAAGCCAGGAGGTCCAGTGGCAGGGAGTCCCGCAGGCCCCAGGGGAGTCGGGGGAGAGTCCTGCTTCCATTCACCTGGGGAACCCTGCCAGCCGCCCTGAACTCTGCACATCCTGTCAGCCGCACGCATCTGGCTGCCGCCCCAGAGCGGGCAAATTCCCCTTCATTAAAAATTAACACCAACGGCTGAATCATTCGGGGAGAGAACCCAGTAGTCCTGATCACTAGCCCCCACTCCCCTCCCAGAGCCCAGGAGAGAACCCAGGAGTCCTGGCTCCCAGCTCCCCCCTGCTCTAACCACTAGCCCCTACTCCCCTCCCAGAGCCAGGGAGAGAACCCAGGAGTCCTGGCTCCGAGCCCCCCCTCCTCTAACCCACCAGCCCCCACTCCCCTCCCCGAGCTGGGGAGAGAACCCAGGAGTCCTGGGACACGACTCGAGGTGAGTGCGAGGGAGGGGGCAGTGCAAGGTCAGTCGACGTCTCCAGGGCGTGTGGGGCAGAGGGGTAATGAAAACCAGTTGCATAACAAAGATAAGTGCGTGGATCCCTGGTGGGGTGGGGTGAGGCACGGGGCAGGGGTGGGGTGCAGGGTGGGGCAGAAAAGGGGCAGGCGGGGGGCAGGGGTATGCCCGTGGGAACCACTGGTTCAGCCTAAATGTCCGTGAATCCATCCACCATGAGCCTGGGGGGCAGGTACCGGCTCTGCCTCCTCCTGGGCCCTGGGGGGCGCTGCTGTGGCATGGTGAGTTCTGAGAGCCCGGACTCCTGGGTTCTCTCCCCGGCTCTGGGAGGGCAGTGGGGGCTGGTGGGTCAGAGCAGGAGGGCTGGGAGCCAGGATGCCTGGGTTCTCTCTGGGAGAGAGAGGGAGGGGAGTGGGAGTGATACAATTTGCAGAGGACACACAAATTGGGGTGTGTGTGAAGAGGGGGGGTTACTTTTGCCGTTAGCTTTTGTGTCTTTTCCTAGTTGCTTCTGGGCCTCCCAAAGTGTGCCCCTGAATCTGAGCCTCTCTTCGGGGCGGTTTTTGAACCGGCGCCTTGCCGTTTGCAGGCATTTCTCTCCCACCGCCCTGACGTTCGATGGCTGCCTCCTTCTTCCGCGCCCTTCCCCTTTTTTCCGCCCGCCGATGCTCCCGCGGGGAGCTCTTCGGGGGGTGTTTTTTCTCCCCCGCGCGGGTGGTCCAGCCGCATTTGCCTCTCGGCCCAGCTCCCTGGGGCGCCCCGCTTAGGAGTGATGCAAGATATTGGCCGAGAAGGAGCCGTGACCGGGGCCTAGAAATGTTCCCTTCATACCAGTCAACGCAGGGAGGGTTCAACCCCCCCCCCCATTATTTTCGGGGTTTCTCTTTTTTTCTGGCCTCTCCGGCTCCCGGAGCATTTCCCAGTCCCGGACCAGATGTCCAGTTGTTACAGGGACTGGCCCGCTCTTAGGGGCTTGGTCTTGGGTCCGCGACTCAACCGCGACCCCCCCAGGGGAAGAAACAGCCCCCGTGTTTCACACTTGACACCTGGTCACCCTGCCGTGGGGGGGTCAGTCCCACCCCATGCCTGGGAGAGTAGCAGGGAGAAAACTGGGCCCGACTGACGCTGGGGGTTTTTCATGGCACTTTCTTTCCTTGGAGGGTTTCTCCTCAGATCTGGCCTGGAGGGTTTGGTGGGGTACAGCTGGGGCGGGGGCAGGGAGCCAGGACTCCTGGGTTCTCTCCCTGGCTCTGGGAGGGGAGTTGGGGCTGGTGGTCAGAGCAGGGGGGGGCTGGGAGCCAGGACTCCTGGGTTCTCCCCCCGGCTCAGGGGGTTAGGAGGGCCCAGTTCTGTACCCCATTCCCATGTGTTTTGTGCAGGGTGGATTCGTCCCGCGACCCTCCAGCTGGAGTCGGTGAGTGTCAGACCCACGGGCCGCCATCCAGCCTGGCCCGCCCCCCATCACCCCCTAAGCCCCGTCACCTGCCCAAACCCATAACCTCTGGCTTTTAGCCTCCCTCTCTGTCCATAAGTAGATGGTGGGGGGGGGGTCTGTTCCCCAGGGCCCTGGTGGGTGGCAGAGGGAGGCCGGAGGTCCGTGTGGGTCTCACATCCCTCTCCTCACCCCCCGGCCAGGCGAGCTGGTACAGTGCGATTTTGATGACAACGGACACCCCTTCTGCCGCTGGACCCGGCCCGATGCCGGAGACTGGATGAGAACCCAGGGCCTGGCTCCAGGGGAGAGCCCCGGGCCCCGGGAGGGACCCCCGAGAGAGGTAAGAAAGGTGGGGCTGGTGGGAGACCTGCCTAACCGGCCGCCCCGCCCCAGAGGCGGCCGCGTCTCGGTGCCGGGCGGGGGGGTCCCTGTGTCACCAGCCGCCCCGCCCCAGAGGTGGCCGCATCTCAGCGCCGGGCGAGGGGTCCCTGTGTCACCAGCCGCCCCGCCCCAGAGGTGGCCGCATCTCAGCGCCGGGCGAGGGGTCCCTGTGTCACCAGCCGCCCCGCCCCAGAGGTGGCCGCATCTCGGTGCCGGGCGAGGGGTCCCTGGCTAAGAGGAGTTTCTCGCCCCACCCCAGCAGGGTTTTATGTCACCCCGGTGGCCCGGGCCCCGGGGGCGGTGGAGCTGCGCAGTCCGGAGCTGGCGGGGGCCTCGGTCGTCTGCCTGGAGTTCCTCTACTATGTACGGGGATGTCGCGGGGTCCTGGCTCGCGGTGCTGCCCCGGGGAACCGGACGGGACTGCAGAGCTCGGCCTGGCTGAGGGGGGCCGTCACCCTGAGCGCCCCCCCGAGCAGCCCTTTAAGGTGAGCAGGGGGGGCATATTCCATCCAGCACCTAACCCTGATGCATGTGGCCTGGGGGGCTGCGTGGTGGGGGCTGCAGGGGGGAAGGTGGGCTGGGTGGGGAGGGGAAGGGGGTGGAGAGGGGTGGAGGCTGGATGGGGTGAGGAAGGTGAGGGTGGGGCAAGGGGGTTGGGTGGGGGAGGGGAAGGTGGGGGTGGGAGGATGGAGGCTGGGTGGAGGAGGGGAAGGTGGGGGTGGAGGCTGGGTGGGGGGAGGGGAAGGTGGGGGTGGGGAAGGAATAGTGCAGGGTCCTGCACTTAGGACCGCATTGGTCACGTGTCCTGGGAGGACCCCCCCCCCCCCGATCTTCCCGGCCTGGCTCACAGGAGGCCTTGTGAGTGAACAGAACCATTTGCAACCCATTGTCCCGGTTAACGGGAGCCATCAAGCTCCCAAGCCACCATTAATGGCCCATTTTTATAGTTTACGACCCCAGATTCGGCTCCAAGACATGTAGACAACTGCGATGACCACGCTCAGCACACCCTGCAAGAGACCTTTCCGCGTGACGCATGTCCCGGTGACGACAGATTCACCTCGCGTGCGACGTCCCGGTCCATATTCGGGGCGACTCCCGGCATCTCCATCCTTACGGCTCCGGGTTTCCCCTTCTGGAGACCCAAAGCCCATCGGAGAGGAAGACGGGTCGCGCCCCGGTGGTTTTTAGACGGGCCCAGCGGCCTCTTGGCCTGAGAAAACGATCCGCTCCGTCCTGGCAATTAGCACAGGGTCATTGATCCATTAACAGTTCAGATCCCGGTGACCACGACCTCCAGCGAGACCGAGAGACCACAGTCCCAAAATGTTCATCTTCCTTTTGTGGTCTCTGAATCCGAGCCATGGGACTAGACACTAGATGCGTTAGGAATAGACACCACTCGTTCGCTCCCCACACAACGCCCCTTCTCTCTCTGACAATGCCGGCTGCATTTTTCCCGGTTTCTTTACATCCCTTCCTAATTAGCCTAATTAGTCTTTACAGTGCGGGCCGCGGGTCACATCAATCTGTGAGTCCATTAACTCTTTCTGGTCCTGTCACCTTTCAATGAGATGGTTTATTGCACTCATAACGTCACAACTGGTGACACGGGGACCCCTCGCCCGGTGCCGAGATGCGGCCACCTCTGGGGCGGGGCAGCTGGTTATATGGGGACCCCTCGCCCGGTGCCGAGATGCGGCCACCTCTGGGGCGGGGCAGCTGGTTATATGGGGACCCCTCGCCCAGCGCCGAGATGCGGCCACCTCTGGGGCGGGGCGGCTGGTGACATGGGGACCCCTCGCCCGGTGCTAAGATGCAGCCACCTCTGGGGCGGGGCGGCTGGTGACATGGGGACCCCTCGCCTGGTGCTAAGATGGAGCCACCTCTGGGGCGGGGCGGCTGGTGACATGGGGACCCCTTGCCCGGCGCCGAGATGCAGCCACTTCTGGGGTGGGGGGGCTGTGGCCGCTGCAAGTAACAGCTGGTTCCCGCAGGCTGGGGGGTCTGCGTGGCGGCGGGGGACCCTCACGACACCACCTTCGATGGGCGGCTCTTCCACTTCATGGGCACCTGCAGCTACACCCTGACCCAGACGTGCAACGCCAGCACCGGGCTCCCCGGCTTCTCCGTCGAGGCCACCAACGAGCACCGGGGGGCCAGCACCCGGGTCTCCTATGTCCGCGCTGCGGCTGTGGAGGTGTTCGGCCACCGGGTGGCGCTGCTCAAGGGGCGCTGAGTGACGGTGAGATCCCCCCCCGTCCCGCCCCACATCCCCGTGGGCTCCCCCCAGCTCTGCCGGTGCCCCTCACTCCCGCCCCAGCCCCTCTCTCTCTCCCTAGGTGGACGGGCAGCGGGTGACCCTGCCGGTGGCCCTGGCCGGGGGCCGGCTCGGGGTGCGGGTGAACGGTGCCTACGCCCTGCTGCAGACGGACGTCGGGCTGCGGGTTCGGCACGACGGGACCCGGCGGGTTGAGGTGCAGGTGCCTTCATCCTACGCCGGGCAGCTCTACGGGCTCTGCGGTGAGTGCAGCCCGGATGCCTGGGTCCCCTGATGCCTGGGTCCCCTGGTGCACCCCGTCCCGCTCGGACGCCTGAGTCCCCGGGTTCTCCCCCATCGCGCTCAGATGCCTGGCTCCCCCGGTCCCCGGATGCCTGGGTCCCCTGGTGCCCCCCAATGGCACCCGGATGCCTGGGTCCCATCCCGGCCTCATGCCTCCGTCCTACCTCCCCTTCCAGGGAACTACAACGGACAGAGCGCTGACGAGAATCTCACGCCCAACGGCACCTCGGCCAGCAGCCCCGGGTGAGTGGGGCAGAGACGGGGGGCCAGGACTCCTGGGTTCTCTCCCCGGCTCTGGGAGGGGGGGCTGGTGGGTTAGAGCCGGGGGGCGGGGCTGGGAGCCAGGACACCTGGGTTCTCCCCCCAGCTCTGGGAGAGGAGTGGGGGGCTGACGGGTTAGAACAGGGGGCGCTGGGAGCCCGGACTCCTGGGTTCTCTCCCGGGCTCTGGGAGGGGAGCAGGGGCTGGTGGGTCAGAGCAGGGGGCGCAGGGAGCCAGGACTCCTGGGTTCTCTCTCCATCTCTGGGAGGTGAGTGGGGCCTGGGAGCCCGGGTGCCTGGGTTCAATTTCCAGAATAAAAACTAAGGAAATTCCCAGACCAAAAAGTTTGGGGCTCTGGCTGATGATCTGTGTGGGAAAGTCCTGGCTATATCCATGGGGGTGGGGTCCCTGGGTCAGCAGCCGCCCCGCCCCAGAGGTGGGCGCATCTCAGCGCTGGGCGAGGGGTCCCCGGGTCACCAGCCGCCCTGCCCCAGAGGTGGGCGCATCTCAGCGCCGGGCGAGGGGTCCCCGGGTCACCAGCCGCTCCGCCCCGGAGGTGGCCGCATCTCAGCGCCGGGCGAGGGGTCTGTCAGTGACTCTGTTTCTCTCTCGCTCCTCTAGGCCAGGGGGACCCCGCGAACTGCGGCACTAAGGATCAAATCACCCGGTTCTGAGGCCTGCCCCTGTCCCGTGACGCCTCAGCCCGATACCCCCGTGATGAGGGGCCGGCGCGGGGCTGGCGGCACCCGAGATCTGCAGCCCCCATGGCCACTCATTTCCCCCCAGGGGCGAGGGGCCCCTCCTGAGGCCAGACGCCTGGGTTCTTGCAGAGCCGATCCACAAAATTGTTTTTCATTGTTCACTTTATTCATAAAACTTCCCAAGTAAAGTTATGAATGAAACTGCATTCATTCATAAAACCGGGTACCCCGAGATCTGGCTAAATGAGTTTCACTGGCAATCCGATTGCTGCTTAAATCGCTGACCCGGGCACTGTTTCACCATTGCAACGTCTAGTCCCCGGTTGCCGATCCACGAAATTGTTTTTCATTGTTCACTTTATTCATAAAACTTCCTAAGTAAAGTTTATGAATGAAACCGCATTCATTCATAAAACGGGGTACGCCCGGGTACTGGGTAATTGAGTTTCACTGGCAATTTGCTGCTTAAATCGAGGACCCGGGCACTGTTTCACCATTGCAATGTCTGGTCCCCGGGTGCCGGTCCCCGCCCTTCTCCGCGGGGCAGCTCAAACCCCATTTTAACAGGCTCACCCCGCTTTGCAAGCCCTGCGGTAACCGGCGTCGGGTGGGTGAGGGGTGTGAACGAGGCCCCGTCTGGAGGACGGCATCACCCGCCAGCCCCAGCCCGGCCGGATGAAATCAAGTCCACCCCGGAAAGCACAAAAGTGCAATTGAAGCCCCCTCAAGGCTGGGTCCCCGGCTGGAAGCCAGGTCCGCCCTGGAGGGGGGATCAGTCCCGCCGAACCCATGACACAGCAAAGACCCAGCGCTGACAGGAAGGGGGGGGTGTGCGATGGCAGATTTTTTTGTGGGGGGTAACTGTCACGGCGTCCGTGGGCGATGCTCTGGACCTGCTCCCCATGAAGCCAGGCAGGACTCTGGGGGAGTCTCCTCTCGGGGAGCAGCCTGTCTGCAGGACACACAGCTCCCCCGGCTCCACCTTCCTGGGTCTGACCCCGGAGCCTCCAGCCTCCTCTGCCCCTCCGTGCGCTTCCCCCAGCGAGTCCACCCAGGCGGGGTCCTGGGGAAGCCAGAGGGTCCTGCCCCCCAACTCCGCAGTCAGACGGGACTCTCAGCCAGCCAGTAACACAGAAGGTTTATTAGACGACAGGAACATGGTCTAACACAGAGCTTGTAGGTGCAGAGAACAGGACCCCTCAGCCGGGTCCATTTTGGGGGCAGTGAGCCAGACAACCACGTCTGCCCTTCACTCCATGTCCCAGCCAGCCCCAAACTGAAACTCCCCCCAGCCCCCCCTCCCCTGGGCTTTGTCCCTGTCCCCGGCCAGGAGGTCACCTGATTCCTTTGTTCTCCAACCCTTTAGCTCTCACCTTGCAGGGGGGGAAGGGCCCAGGCCATCCCTGGCCAGGAAACAGGGTGTCGGCCATTCTCTGTGTCCAGACCCCTGCACACACCTGCCCTCTAGGGCTCTGCAAGGATCACACACCCTAGAGACTTAAGAACTGCCTAGGGGAAACTGAGGCACCCCCACACTATTCAGAGGAAACTCTAAGAACAGTCCCGCTCCGTCACAGTAACATTCTGCTGCCAACATGGCAGGGCACCGGTGCACGCCCACCAGGGCCCCTTCCTCGTGTCCGGCTTTCCTGGCCGGGTCCCCACCATAAGCTCCGACCCCCCCAAGCTCCAGGCAGGGCTGGTAACTATACAACAGCTGCAGAATATTTGGGGGGTGGGTGGGCGGGGGGCTGTGGGGGGGGGGCTACACACACAGGTATTAGTTATCGGTCATAAATCAAATTACGTCATGATAACGAACGTGGGGTCTTGTCTTGTCCCCGGAAACGATCCTGTGTCGTTTTCTCTGCACGCCACAGCCCTCCCCCGGCCCCCTGCCCCCGCCCGCTACTTGTTTCCCGCCCCCCTCCCCGCCAGTGGCGACGGGCACCTCCTGAGACCGGACTCCTGGGTTCTTTCCCCGGGGTCCCCCGGCCCCGTCTGTCCTGAGGGCTGGGCCATGTTCAAGGCAGGAGAATAAATTTACACTTCAACTGGCTGGGATCGATTCTTGTGTCCGCCCCCCTCTCGACTCCAGACACCCCACTGCGAGCCAGGACTCCTGGGTTCTCTCCCCGGCTCCGGGAGGGGAGTGGGGGCTGGTGGGTTAGAGCGGGGGGCAGGGGGCTGGGAGCCGGGACTTCTCGGTTCTCTCCCCAGTTCTGGGAGGGGAGTGGGGGCTGGTGGGTTAGAGCAGGGGGGCTGGGAGCCAGGACTCCTGGGTTCTCTCCCCGGCTCCGGGAGGGGAGTGGGGGCTGGTGGGTTAGAGCAGGGGGGCTGGGAGCCAAGACTCCTGGGTTTTCTCCCTGACGCTGGGAGGGACGTGGGGGCTGGTGGGTTAAATCGGGAGGGGGGGAGGTCCCTTTGTCTCCCATCTTTCTCCAACGCTCTTTCCAGCAAGCATCGGCCCTAAATCAGGGCTGAGCAGTGGGTCAGGCCCGGAGCCAGCCCCGAATGGCCATCTCTGGGGGGGGTGCCAGCCCCGGAGCCTTTCCCCTCTGACGTCAGCCTGGTGGCTGGTGAATAGGGGGTTGGCCGGGGAACCCCGCGCGGGGGGCAGGAATCTTCGCTTCTTTGTCTCCCTGCGTCGCCCCCCCCCAGCTCGGTCATGGGGTGGAGTGGGGGGCAGGAGTGTTTTTATTTTAGCCTGTTTGGGGGTGGGGGGGACGGGTCGCGGCCTCCCAGCGCCTTCGCCAGCTGCCTCCGTCAGCACCTCACGTCCCGTTGGCTCGCCGGGCGCAGGAACCCTGGAGTCCGGGCTTCCCCCTGCCTCCCTCTGCACCCCATTCCCCTGCCCGAGCCAGGGAGAGAACCCAGGAGTCCTGGCTCCCAGCCCCCACTGCTCTAACTCACCAGCCCCCGCTCCCCTCCCAGGGCTGGGGAGAGAACCCAGGAGTCCTGGCTCGCAGCTCCCCATGTGGGGCTCTCCTTGCCCCCCCCCCCATTTCTCCGGGGCTCAGCTGTGCTTCCACCCCCTTCCCAGCCCATGGCAGCCACCCTTCCCTGCTGGTCTTGGCTCAGCGGGGCCTCCTGCTGGGAGGAAGCAGCCCCTGGACCCCCCCACAGCTGCCCCCCACACAATGGCCCAGCTCGTCCCCAGCTGGGCTGCAGGCTCTGGACCTGGCCTGAGCAGCCCTAATCCCCCCCGTGTCTTAATTAGCCCCCTGGGCTCGTTAATCCAAGGATTAGGCCATTAATTAAGAGCCAGGTGGCGGGGGGGGGGAGGATTTTAGGACAACTCCCAGAACCACTTCCTGTCTCGAACTCCAAGCCTGATCTCTAACATCCTGTTAGAGGCCAGCACCCCCACAACAGGGGACAGGCCCCGTACTCCATTCCCTGCCCCCCACCCCCGAGCCAGCCAGCCCCCCAACCCGTCCCAGCCCAGAGCGGCTGGAAGCCGCATTCCCTGCGGGCCACCGGCTGGTCTCTGGGGCAACCTGCTGGCGGAGTGACGCCGGGTCTGGCCCTGTTCTGCCCCCCGGATGTTTTCCGGCCCCACACCAGGTTACCCCGTGTGATGGATTTAAAGGGGGGGATGGGGGGGCGAGGAGCCCAGGGCTCCGGGCAAAAGGTCACGAAACCGTCTTGGCTTGGAGAAGATGGGAAATAATACACAGGGGGATGGGGGGCAGCCCAGGGCTGGGGGGGCAGGGGCTGCGGGTCGGGAGTGAGGGGCACCAGCAGGGCTGGGCTGGCAAGGGGCTGCGGGTTGGGAGTGGGGGGCACTGGCAGGGCTGGTGGGGGGCAGGGCTGGGGGGCAGGGGCTGCGAGTCGGAAGTGAGGGGCATCTGTCTGTTTCCAGAGTCCCACTCTCCCCCCCCCAGTAACTCGTCACCCCGACAACCCTGCACAAAAGCCCCCCGGCCTGCGTCCCCCATTCCCACCGCCCCCTCCTGCTCCAGCGGGGGCCAGGATCTGTTGCCCCGGGTGATGTATCCCAGGAGGGAGTGGCCGGGGGGGCACGTCACCACCTCGGGGCCCCTTATACACTCGGGGCCGGGGAGGAGGAGAAGCCAGTGGGACCCAGACACCCGGCCGGACCCCCCAGCCCCACCACTCGCAGGGACGGCCCAGGGTTCGACGCCCCCCTTCACACACCGTGGGGACCATGCAGCCTTCATCCACCCTGCTCTTCCTCCTCCTCCTCCCCCGGTTCGCCTCACCGGCCCCCCTCTGGCACCCCAAGGTAGGTACCGGGCTAGGGAGGAGTCCTGGCTTCTGGCCCCCCATTCTCTAACCACCAGCCCCCACTCCCCTCCCAGAGCCGGGGAGAGAACCCAGGAGTCCTGGCTCCCAGCTGCCCTGCTCTAACCCACCAGCCCCCACTCCCCTCCCAGAGCCGGGGAGGGAACCCAGGAGTCCTGGCTCCCAGCCCCCACTCCTCTAACCACTAGCCCCCACTCCCCTCCCAGAGCCGGGAGAGAACCCAGGAGTCCTGTCTCCCAGCCCCCCCTGATCTAAGCCACCCACCAGCCCCCGCTCCCCTCCCAGAGCCGGGGAGAGAACCCAGGAGTCCTGGCTCACAGCCCCCGCCCCGCTCTCACCCCCCAGCCCCCGACTCTCCTCCCAGAGCCGGGGAGGGAACCCAGGAGTCCTGGCTCCCAGCCCCCACTCCTCTAACCACTAGCCCCCACTCCCCTCCCAGAGCTGGGGCCATGTCTCTGTGCCGGGGCACCTGGGGGCTGGGATATAATGGGGGGGGCCCTGTGTCTGTGCCATGTTTCTTTAATGGGGTCCCCTATTTCTTCACCCCCAGACTCTGGGTGACTTCGGGGGCGAAGCCCTCCCCCGCCCGCTCTCTGCCGACGTCCCTGTACCCCCCAGTCCCCACTTCCCCCAGGCGGGGATCCGCCCCCTGCACGACAGCCCCGAGCCCCCCTCCCTCAACCCCGCCTGGGCCCGCTTCTTTGCCGACTTCATGAACGGCCAGAGGAAGTTTCGGGGCCGGACCAAGAAGGCGCCGGCGCCCCAGGGCTGCTTCGGGATGAAGCTGGAGCGAATCGGGACCCTCAGCGGGCTGGGGTGCTAATGCCCGAGGTAGGAGACTGCGGCATCTAGTGGCGGGGAGTTCCACAGGTTGACACTGCCTGGCCAGTGAGTGGCCTGTAACGACGGCTGTACGCCTGGAAGCTCTGCCCCCAAGACCCTCCTATAACTCCCCTCCATCTCCCCATAGCCCCCAACCTCACCTTTTCCTACTCACCCCTTCCGAGACGGTGTCATCCCTGTGGAATCCAGAGGCATGGCATTCCACAGGTTAATGCCAGCCCAGCCACACCCGATGGCAGGTAGTTTCACAGGTTAACACCAGCCCAGCTGCGCCCGGTGGTGGGTAATTCCATAGGTTAATGCCAGGCCGGCCGCGCCTGGTGGCGGGTAGTTCCACCGATTCACCAGCCCGTCTGTCCCCGGTGGCGGCTAGTTCCACAGGTTAATGACGCCCTAGCTTTGACTTGACTTTAGCTATGCTCAGCTAGTTGCTCTCTTATGGGGGGGGCACGGCAAGCCCTTATCCCCCTATAATGCCACCCTCAGCCCCATCACCTCACCCGTCCAATCTCAGCCTCTCCTAGCCCACAGAATCAAGTGGCTGGTAGTTCCACAGGTTAATGGTATCCTGACACTGAAGTGTAGCTTTGCTCAGCTGTTTCTCCGCCAGTTAGGGATGCTGCCCCCCCACCCTGTAACTTCACCCCCCCATACCCCACGAACTCACCCCCACATCTCTTCGCCTTCTCTCCTAGGTTTCCACCCCCCCCGGCCCAACGCAGCCCATTGAAGCGACACCAGGGCCCGGTCCTGAAGGCGACATGCCTGGATTTGTAACACAGCCCCCCCGCCAGCTCTGGTTTTTGAGGGGGGGGCCAAGAATTCCTGGTCTATCCCCCACCCCCACCCCGACTTGGGGAACGTAGAGACAAGGGGACCCCTCAGCCACCAAGCGAGAGGTTCCTGCCGCATCTCTGATTCGCACCTAAAACTAATAAATACCCCCCCCCCCCCCAAAATGTGGATTTTCCTTCATTTATATTAAAGGGGCTTTTAGTTCTGGGAGAGAAACCGCCAGAGAGAGAACCCAGGCGTCCTGGTTCCCAGCCCCCCCCCCGCATTAAACCACGAGCCCCCAGTCCCTTTCCGGAGCCAGGGAGAGAACCCAGGAGTCCTGACTCCCAGCCCCCCCGCTCTCACCCACCGGCCCCCACTCCCCTCCCAGAGCCGGGGAGAGAACCCAGGAGTCCTGGCTCCTGGCCCCACTCGGTTGTTGAACCATTTATGTGCAGTACCAGAGAAGGGCCACCAGGCGGCGCTGTTGCTCTATTTCAGGGAGGCAGGCGGGGCTGGCCCCAGGGCGGCGCTAGGGGGCGCTGTGCTACGGGATGGGGGGCAACCCACAACCCCCGTTACCCCAGCCCCAGAGTTCCCTGCTTCGGACGCCTGGGTTCTCTCCCCGGCTCTGGGGGGGAGGGGGGGCTGGGGGGTTAGAGCAGGGGGCCCCCCCTGCTCTCACCCCCAGCCCCCACTGCCCTCCCGGAGCCGGGGAGAGAACCCAGGCGTCCTGGCTCCCAGCCCCCCACCCCGCTCTAACCACCAGCCCCTACTCCCCTCCCTGAGCCGGGGAGAGAACCCAGGAGTCCTGGCTCCCAGCCCCCTCTGCTCTAACCCCCCAGCCCCCACTCCCCTCCCAGAGCCGGGGAGAGAACCCAGGCGTCCTGGCTTCCCCCCCCCCCCACTCTAACCCCCCAGCCCCCACTCCCCTCCCAGAGCCATGGAGGGAACCCAGGCTGGCCGGTGGTAGCCAAACTCTCCCCGCAGTTAGCCCAGTCCTAGCAGGGCCCTCAGCAGCTGGGGCCAGGCCCTAAATCCACAGAGACCTCGAGCGGGGAGGGGGGGGGGGTCTTGGAGACACCCCGAGATGGGAAAGTTCGGGTAGGGGGGACAGGGGCAGCCGGAGCCCGGGGGAGCTGGTGGGGTTCCATGCTCTGGGGCAGGGCGGGGAGCTCAGAGTGCCCTGAGGCTGCCCCTGGGGGTGGGGAAACTGAGGCAGTGACAATGTACAGGAGGGGGGATGGGACGGGGTGGAGCCGGGGCTGTTGTCCAGAGTCGGGGGGGGGGCCCCGCTGGCAGGGGCCCCCGAAGGGGGAGAAGCTGATGGCACCCCAGGTTGGCGCTAGGGGGTACTGTGGGGCAGGGAGCAGGGTGGGGGCTCAGCAGCGGGGACTCTCCCCTGGAAGGCGGGGCTGCGGCTCCGGGAAAGGGGGCCGGGGGGTACTGGGGTATCTGGGGGGGTCGGTGCCAAACCAGGGCGGGTCAAAGGTAGCGGGCCCCTCTTCTGGGACGGGGCAACGGATGGGGTCTGGCGCCCCTCACTCCCGACCCCCAGCCCCGCCCCCCAGCTCCGCCGGCGCCCCTCACTCCCGACCCCCAGCCCCGCCCCCCCAGCGCCCCTAACTCCCGACCCCCGGCCCCCTCAGCTTCGCCGGCGCCCCTCACTCCCGACCCCCAGCCCCCCCAGCCCCGCCCCCAGCCGCCGGCGCCCTCACCCCGACCCCAGCCCCTGCCCCCAGCCCCGCCGGCCCTCCTCCCGACCCCCAGCCCCTGCCCCCAGCTCTGCCGCCCCCCCGACCAGCAGCCCTGCCCCTGCCAGCCCAGCCCTGCCCCCAGCTCTGCCGCCCCCCCCCTCCCGACCAGCAGCCCCTGCCCCTGCCAGCCAGCCCTGCCCCCAGCCCGCCGCGCCCTCACCCCGACCCCCAGCCCCTGCCCCCCAGCCCCGCCGGCGCCCTCCTCCCGACCCCCAGCCCCCTGCCCCCCAGCCCCGCCGGCGCCCCTCACTCCCGACCCCCAGCCCCCTGCCCCCCCAGCTCTGCCGGCCCCCCCCCTCCCGACCAGCAGCCCCTGCCCCTGCCAGCCCAGCCCTGCCCCCCCAGCTCTGCCGCCCCCCCCTCCCGACCAGCAGCCCCTGCCCCTGCCAGCCCAGCCCTGCCCCCCAGCTCCGCCGGCGCCCCTCACTCCCGACCCCCAGCCCCCTGCCCCCCCAGCTCTGCCGGCGCCCCCCCTCCCGACCAGCAGCCCCCTGCTAGCTGGGCCCCTCTATTTACATTCTTAGCTACAACTCCACAAACTTTCCCTTTTAAAGATGAACTCCCCGCCCCCCCCGCCCCCCAAATCTGCAAATGGGGGAACATCTGGCACGGACTCCGTAAGGAATGAATACAGCAGGCAGGGCGGGGGAGGGCTGGGAGCCAGGACTCCTGGGTTCTCTCCCCGGCTCTGGCAGGGGTGAGTCCATGGGTCAGATTGTCCATTGTCCACAGGGTGGGGCTTGGCCTGGGTGGCACCTTCCCCCCCCCCCCGTTTCCTGTTCCTGCCCTGGCTGCTGGGGGTCACATAAACAGCAGCTGGTGAAAAAACCCCACCCCCCTCCCAGAGCCGGGGAGAGAACCCAGGAGTCCTGGCTCCCAGCCCCCCCTGATCTGACCCACCGGCCCCCACTGCCCTCCCAGAGCTGGGGAGAGAACCCAGGAGTCCTGGCTCCCAGCCCCCCCTGCTCTAACCCACCAGTCCCCACTCCCCTCCCAGAGCTGGGGAGAGAACCCAGGAGTCCTGGCTCCCAGCCCCCCTGCTCTCACCCACCACCCCCATTCTCCTCCCAGAGCCGTGGATAGAACCCAGGAGTCCTGGCTCCCAGCCCCCCCTGCTCTGACCCACCACCCCACTCCTCCCAGAGCCAGGAGAGAACCCAGGAGTCCTGGTCCCAGCCCCCTGCTCTAACCCACCAGACCCCACTGCCTCCCAGAGCCGTGGATAGAACCCAGGAGTCCTGGCTCCCAGTCTCCCTTGCTCTGACCCACCAGCCCCCACTCTCCTCCCAGAGCCGTGGATAGAACCCAGGAGTCCTGGCTCCCAGTCCCCCTGCTCTGACCCACCAGCCCCCACTCTCCTCCCAGAGCCAGGAGAGAACCCAGGAGTCCTGGCTCCCAGCCCCCCTGCTCTCACCCACCACCCCCACTCTCCTCCCAGAGCCGTGGATAGAACCCAGGAGTCCTGGCTCCCAGTCTCCCTTGCTCTGACCCACCAGCCCCCACTCTCCTCCCAGAGCCGTGGATAGAACCCAGGAGTCCTGGCTCCCAGCTCCCCCTGCTCTGACCCACCACCCCACTCTCCTCCCAGAGCCAGGGAGAGAACCCAGGAGTCCTGGCTCCCAGCCCCCCCTGCTCTGACCCACCACCCCCACTCTCCTCCCAGAGCCGTGGATAGAACCCAGGAGTCCTGGCTCCCAGTCTCCCTTGCTCTGACCCACCAGCCCCCACTCTCCTCCCAGAGCCGTGGATAGAACCCAGGAGTCCTGGCTCCCAGTCCCCCTGCTCTGACCCACCAGCCCCCACTCTCCTCCCAGAGCCAGGGAGAGAACCCAGGAGTCCTGGCTCCCAGAGGCGGAGTTTAGTGTCTCGCCGATCGCACTGTGGCCCCCGAACCAATCCACGCCTAAAACCCAGCAGCCCCACGCGAGAGGGCGGGGCTGGACCAGGCCCCGCCCCCTCTGAAGCCCCGCCCCCACGTGAAATAGACCCCCCCCCCCAGGTGTTACCTCATTCCACTTCCTTAGAGAGCTGAGTGAATCCCACTTTATTTTGGGTGGGGACCCCAAATCCACGTCAGCTCGGGCGGGTGGGATTCCGATACCCCACACACTGTCCCAGCTCTGTGGGAGGGAGCCTGGAAATTACCTACCCCCCCAATTTCCCCCCACCCCGAACTTTGGTTCAACAGCGAATCACAACAATCCCCCGCCCCCCGTTAAATTCGCCTTCAATATGAAGGTGAAAGCCCGGCGCCCAGTGATGACCTCACAAAGCAGCCCCCCCCAGCGTCCCTCAATGTCCTGCGGCGATGACCTCACGGGCCCCCAAACGATGACATCACCGGGCTCCCGATGCAGATCGATAACATCGCCCGGCAGGATCCTGACTGTGACATCAGAGCCGCTCCTGATGACATCACGAGGCAGTCCCTGGGGAGATGACGTCACCC